TGTCCGCTATCCGCACTTCTCGTTCGATCGCCCTCAGCACCGAGCTCGCCACTAGGCATCATCGCATCTATTCCATCACCATTCCTCCTGATCGTCCTATCATGGTCTGACGATGATGACACTGCAAGGCTATCCACTCTGTCCTCGATCGCCATTTCTAACCTGGAACCAGTGACTCCCTTGGCACCTCCCGTTGACTCGTAATTCGTCCCGTGGGACACAGGCTCGGAGGGAATGACGAACGGTCCCTCTTCCATCCTTCCATCTATTCCAGCCAGATCCTCGATAGCAAGCGTCGGAGTCCTAGCGTTTCCTGCTTCTATCCCACCTCTTCCGGCCCTATACTCATTTAAATCTGTAGCTCCCATAACTGGATCAAACACTACAGGACTGCTTGCAAGCATGCTGAGCTGCATTACGGCATCCCCTCTATCTTCGATTGATGGGATAGCAAGCAGCTCCCGCAATCCTTCGCCTGCGTCATTCCCCTGAGTGCCTGACATATCCGCTATCCCGGCATAGCCCAGTCCTTCCGATCTCCCCATTCTATCCATCGTCGTCACAATCTCCAAGTTTCTATCCGTCAGTCCTGGGGGTGGTCCTGGCACTAACATACTACCCGCAGCGCTCGACCTAACGTCTACAGTAAGCGGTCCTGACAAACTGAGGCCGAGGCGATCTCTGTCAGCACTACTATCCATCTCCATTCCTGTCCTGCCACTATTCCGTCCGTCGTCGATGAAGCCCATGGTCTCGGCGTCGGCTATGCTTCTCGCATGACTATCAACGGCGGCCACATCCTGGTTGACCGCAGTGACCTGGTCCTCGAGGAATCTATTCCCTGTTCCTAGCACATCACTATCGCTAGACTCACTGCTCCCAATGCTATCACGTGTGGACATTGCTGCAGTCAATGAACACAAATGACAAATGCGGAAAACTTCGCTATGCAAGTGGTACCTCTTCGCTATACCAAGAAAAACTTCTCGAACAGCTCGTCCAGGCCAAGCAACAAGGCTCTTAACCTGTGCGAAGTGTCCAAACCAATGAAAACTTGCGCAACCCGTTCCAGTAACTAGCTCAGGCCACACGAGGAGAAAGAAGTTGTATATTTACAGTTGTAGGTTGTAATGTTGCACCAGAAGTAACAGTATCCCTGTCAACGGGGAACTCAAGGTAGCTAGCCAATCGTTCCGAGCCACTCCCGACGTTAACTATCGGAAGGATCCCCAGAGTTGCTATCTCCAGGGGGTGGTAACCTATCGCTCAAGATGTATCCACTAGCCGTCCGGCTGCGTGTTGTACACCTATCCCGATATTCACCTGAACAGCCACCTGCCCTCAGTATCCTCCGGCCTCCGGCTATGAGTTGTAAAGAGAACAGATAACTATCCCGAGGTTAGGGAAAAGGATCTATCCCTCGTCAACGCCCGATCCTTTTAGCTCCTCTGGCCTCCGGCTGCGAGTTGGCTAATCGGATCCACCACGTACAGGGACACTATCCACGGGGGCGAAAACTGTACAAGTCTGGCTGCTACGATACTAAGAAGGGCCCTTCTCGAGCAGCTCGCGGCTGCGACCGGACAAGAAGTCTTGCCCACTATCCCGGCTCGTCCACGAAGAAGTCGATGTCTATCCAAGGCCCAAACCCGAAATACATGTACATGTCAAAATAGCACCCCATGGAATTAACTTGACCTCTTTGTGCTAAACAAGGATCAGGGTGGCCTGGGAACCCTTAACCCGAAACCCCTAACCCTGAATCGGGATCAGGGTGGCGTTGGAACCCTTAACCCCAACATCCCTTTGGACACCTCAAACTGTGCACCCAAGCCTCCCGAAGAAGCGCATCCGGAAGTCCGGCGTCAGGAAGATCGCCAGCTCCCAACTGCCTAGCGGGCTCGAGGTTGGGGGGGGGGGGGCTTTAGGGCTTAGAGTTTGGGGGATACTTTGATAAGCATCCTGGATAGTTCACTTTGCATCAACCCTCAACCCTAAACGTTGGGAAGTAACCCTAAACCCTGGGGAGTAGACCCTAAACCCTAAGCCCACCCAAAACACCAAACCCTGAGGCGTAGACCCTAAACCCCTCAACCCTGAACCCCAACCCCATGACCCTCCACCCTGAGGCGTAGACCACGAAACCAGGAGCGGGAGGAGAACGCTCACGCGCATTGAAGCTGCCTCTGTTGAAGGGCTCAGGGTTGCTTCAGGCCCCGAGGCTCTTGAGGTTGAAACGGCTTATTGTAGGGGCCTTGATAATTAGAACAGGGTCTTGGGGGGTAATTAGAGTAGAATTACAAAGGGACCATGAGGGAATACTATTAGTAATTATTCCGACCATTTAAGGTTCAGGTTTGTGCCTGTCTTTTGTTGGTGGGGGCACAGGAGAGCTGAAAAAGCTTTGGATTCTGCAGCCCTTGTGGGGGTCGAGGCACGTGCCACTCATGAATGATGGGGTTTAGGGTTTAAGGTTTGAGGGTTTGAGGGTCTGGCCAATAAAACAAGAAGGATCCGATTCCAATGCGCTGCCCTCTGCTAGCATACCATGTAAAGTAGGGCTCTTATTACGGCTTCGGTGCGTCTGTGTACTCGATGCGAATCCCAAAAGCTACACACAACTCTTTCCACAAAAACATTCCCGCGAAGCCCTTCAACCTAACCCAAAACACCCTAAACCCTAACACCTCAACCCCCAAGCTTTGATCGCCCTCCGCCTTCGCCACTAGGGTTTAGGGCTGTACTTAGGGCTGTAGGTTTGAAGGGTTGAGATTCTGGGACGACGATTACAAGGGAGGTTAGGGCTTTCGGTGTTCACAAGCCTTGGATTGGGCGGCCATGCTCACTTGGGATGCTCCCCCCTGATATTGAGTGTCCTTGATCGGGATTCGAATACCCCCCTGTTACCCTGTTCGAATCCCTCTTAAGGACTGTTAGTATAAAGGGGGAACATCCCAAAATGCTCACCCTGCATCCCCGGTTCGAGAAGCCCCCGAGACCCAGAGCAGGATTCCATCACACTTAGGGCTTTATGAAGAGGCTTTCGGGCTCAGAGGGTTCGAAGCAGAGTTCTGAGCTTCCCTAAACCCTAAACCCTAAACCCTAAACCCTAAACCCTAAACCCTAAACCCTAAACCCTAAACCCCTGAACCTTCCAGTGTGCGTGGACCCATGGCAACTCAAGAATCCCTCCATGCGCCGGGGCCTCCTCCAATGAGGAGGGCCGTTTTGGCTGGGGAGGGCCGCCACCATGCTTTGTATGGCTTGGAGCTTGCTTGGTGAGATCTAAGGCTGCTGTGGTACTGAAGGGGTTCAAGGGCTCAAGGGCTTTACCAGAGCAAGCCCATGTAGCTCATGGTGTGAGTGAGGTCTCAGCCGTCGGCTGCTTTGTTGGGCTCTGCTGTTCTGTCTTCTTGAGATGTGAGCCAAGGGCTTGACCCGAGGTCTGCCGGTGCGGCGCCAGTTCATATCGATCTGCTTGGTGTCCCGATGGGCAGCACGTCGTGCTGAAGGGGTGTGATGCTCCAACCCCTCAACCCTAACCTGCAAACCCCACAAAGTCCAAAAGCAAACCTACAGCAAACCCTGCGAGCCCCCTCAAACCACGAGCCCAGGCTCAAATCATTGTTAGGGCTGTAGGTTTTCTGGGGTACAAGGCTTGGGGTTCTGAGTTTTGGAGGTCTCATAGGGTCTTGGTGATGTAGTGCTTCCAGGGTCCTGAGGATTCACAGAGTGCTCGTCCGACCAGAAACCACAAAAGCGGCTGGAGCCTAAACCCTAAACCCTAAACCCTAAACCCCAAACCCTAAACCCTAAACCCCAAACCCTAAACCCTAAACCCTAAACCCTAAACCCTACCCCCTAAACCCTAAAGTGCAGCTCCTTTTGTCGTCGACATGAAGCAATCTGTGGCTCAGTGGAACCTGTAGCAACTGTCGCCGACCTACGGCCTTAGATTCTTGAGGGTGCCAATTCGGGCTTAGGGCTTAGGGTTTCGGGTTTAGGATTTAGGGTTTAGGTCATTAGGGCTTGGGTCTATCTACGAGGCGGCCGCCGGGATCCACGCAGGATTTGAAATGCTGTTGGGAGCCTCACCGCGCGCCTTCACCGACGTGGGCTAGGCATCTAAGCACACGCACCACGCAAAAGCCTCACCCAGTAAACTTCTTCTACAGCCGCTAGTCCCCTAAACTTCCTGAAAACCCTAAACCCTAAACCCTAAATCCTAAACCCTAAACCCCTCTGTGTGAGGGCATCCCGAAGTGGTCCTCTTGAAGGAGCCACGGCTTACTGCGCCTTAAAAGACAGGGGCAGGGACAGACCCAAGGCCACCTGTAAGCGATAAAGCAGCTTAGGGTTTAGGGTTTAGGGTTTAGGGTTCAGGGGTTAGGGTTCAGGGTTTAGGGTTTAGAGTTGAGGGTTCAGGGTTTAGGGTTTACAGTTCCAAAGCCCTTACGTTGGGGTCTGGGGATTTAGGGCTTAGGTGGTCTGGGCGCTTAGGGCACAGGGTGGCGAAGCTAATCCCTGAGCCAGGCCAACTCGATTCGCGAGAAGATGCCCTAAAAGAGCAAAAGGGGAAAAAACGGTCTGCTCGCCGCACGGTCTAAACCTGTCTGGAGCAGCCTACAAGAGGAAGGGTTGTCGTGGCTCTTTGCTCGGCCCCGTAGATGGGGTTTGGGGGCTTTGGGGGGTCTGGAGTCTGGAGTTGTCTTGGGGAGGACTTAGGGTTGGGGAAGTAGCGCCCCGAAGATTCAGGGTTTAGGGCACAGGTCGTGGCCAGCCGCCCTAAACCTCATGGATCGTAGCCCCGAACCCACAACACATGGGTCCAAGGTTCTGGGTTTAGGGCTTGGAGTCCGGCCTGCAGAGAATCTACACGACAGAGTTCCCGGGGCTTCTGTGCCTACAGGGAGTAACGCCGCTTTCAGGGCTAGGGCGTCGAAGATCTACTGGGCTTCGGGAGCTTTTCCGTAAGGCTGTGCGAGCCGCCCCCGACAGGTTTAAGTCGATGTGGCGCCTAAGAGCATCATGAATGCCAGGTTGATGCCTCGAGCAGGCTCGGCATTCAGGGCTATGGTACGGGTCCCACAAGCCTGAACCCGAAATGCCGCTAAAGACTCAACTCGACATGTCATGCATGCTACATGATTAGACTGTAACATATCATCTTTCCTCTCATGTTTCCCCCGAAATCCTACAAGTTTCGGGAAGTAGGTGCTGAGGGGGCCGGGGGGGAGGGGGCTCCAGAGGAGCCTACTACAAGGCCAAGTTTTCCGGGTCGAGCTATGTGTTTCTTCTACATGCAGCAAGCCAGCTTCTTGCTTCTGTTTCGCTCTCCTGCCCTCCCTCCCTCACTTTCCCTGCTAAGCTCCGTCTTGCTCTCAACCCTGCAATTCAGCCCCTCAACCCCCTTTGTCTTTTCCTGATCCCTTTGAAAATCAAGAAGGCCAAAATCGACTTCGATGGCTCCGGGGTGGGGGGTAACAACCCTCTAAGCGCCCGAGGCCCGCACCCATGTAAGGCATGCCTACCTCGGAGGGTTTAGGGTTTAGGGTTTCGGGTTTCGGGCTTAGGGTGCTGCAGGGTTGAGGGTGTAGGGTTTAGGGTCTAGGGTCAGAAGGTTTAGGGTAATAGGGTTTGAGCTGTAGGGTTTGCGGTTTGGGTTTTTGAGGTGAGAGGTTTGAGGTTCTTAAGACTTCGGATTTGTGCCTGTTGGCTAGAGGGTTCAACCTTTTGGGCTTGTGCTCTGCCTCATTAGGGTGTCGCTTGCCTGGATTTAGGGCTTGGGGTTTGCAAGGAGCCCAAGTGCTCACTCAGGTCCCTAGATTACCTGCAAGTGGCGAGACTGAACACACACGGCAACCAAAACCCTCCCCCCTAAACCCGAAGCGCTGAACCGATCCTGGGCACGAGAGACCCCTAAACCTAAGCCCTCCACCCATGCCAAACTAAACCCTTACTAGACCTTAAGCCGTGCTAAGCCCCAAAACCTACTGCAAGCGCTTGGTAAGCTGGGGGTTTTGGGGTAATGATCTGGCATCTGGCATAAGACACTGAGCCATGGGTCGGGTCGTGTCGGGTCGGGTCGCGAAAGCCCGGTCTGGGCACAGTTCCCCTCATTTTGGGCAGGGTTTAGGGTTTAGGGTTTAGGGTTTAGGGTTTAGGGTTTAGGGCTTAGGGCTTAGGGCTTAGGGCTTAGGGTTTAGGGTACAAAACCTGGGCATTCGGAGGAAGCTGGGGTGGGCCCAGAATCTTCCCTTCCGCGGTGGTAAGGCGGCCGTGGGTTGAAGAGCCTTGTATTCAGAAACCCTGGGGAGCCCAAGAGCTTGCCTACCTGCAGGCGGCTCGGGTTTCAGGAGGCCTGCCCCCTGACTGCGGGAGTCTCTGAGTTTTCTTGGGGGTCGGGAGGCCCGAAAAGTGCAGGAGGCTAAGCTGGATTGCTGCTGAGTTCTCGAACGACACCACATGGAGGGTGAGGAATCAAGCAATAGAACACTGAAACCCTGAAACCCTCAAACCCGGAAACCTTGAAAGTCTGAAACCCCCTAAACCCTAAACCCTAAACCCGCCGAGGCCCCTGGCCAGGATCAACCAAGGTAACACCACGAAGGAGATCGGACCTGGAGTTGATTTCTGGATGCGCGCTTTGGTTGGTTGACGGTTTAGCCTAAACCCTAAACACTCCCTAAACCCTAAACCCCAAACCCTAAACCCTAAACCCTAATCTCGGTTTAGGCTGGTGTAAGGGGAAAGGAGGAGAGGGGCGCAGGTTTTGAGTGCCGGTGCATCAGGGTGTGTCGGGTTTTGGGATGCAGGGTTTCGGGCTGAGGTGCTCGAGGTGTGGGGCTCGGGCCGGATGCATTTCGGGTTAAAGCCTCATCCCATCACTTCAGGCCTAAACAAAAAACCCAAGTCCGAAATCCTCAAGCCCCAAGGCCTGAAATCCTGAGCTCGCAGATCCGAAGTCGGAAGCCCTGAAGCCCAAGTACCTTAAGCTCCTCGCAAGTCTTTAACTGTTGGGAATCAACCGTCCATCCCAACACTCAGGGTTTAGGGTTTCCGGGCAGAGATGTGCAGATTTTCTGGGGTGCCAGGGATCATGGCCCTTGCCCTGCATCGAAAAAATCTGCGTACGCTCTTGCTGGCCGCCGCGGGGCCGAGCCACTTGATGATTCTTGTCAGCGTCCTGCGGAGACTGAAGGGGTCCATTGTGGGGTTGAGGCTGCAGGGTTTCGGGCTTCGGGTTTGGGGTTTCAGGCTTAGGGTTTAGGGGGTTTTGGGGCTTAGGGTTTGGGGTTGAAGGCTTAGGGTTTTAGGGGGGTTTGGGGCTTAGGGTTTGGGCTTTAAGGCTTAGGGTTTAGGGTTTAAGCAGGGTGTAGGGTTTAAGGTTCGGGGCTTCGGCGATGCAGGGTTTGGGGCAGGCTTTGCTCCAGGGCCTGGGATAGGGTTTAGGGTTTAGGGTTTCGGGTTTAGGGTTTAGGGTTTAGGGGTTTAGGGTTAGGGGTTTAGGGTTTAGGGGTTAGAGCTTCGGGTTTTTCTGGGATCGCCAAGGGACGAAAAACATCCTCCCGAGGTGAAACCGAAGCTTCCCACTCCACTCCACCACCAGCTCCTCCCACCTCCCCATCACCAAACCAGAAACCCGAAGCCCTAAACCTAGAAGCGCAAACTCAGAAAATGGGTTGCTCTTAGTACCGACTGCTTGCTAAAAGCTGTGTTTTGCTCTTTGTACCTGTGCGTTTTGTGTGCCAGGTCCTGTTCAAGATGAGGATCGAGAGCCACCTTGACCACCACGCAGGTGACAGGCAAGCCTGGCCGAAGATCAGCGTTGATTCCTTGAGGGTTGTAAGGTTCTGGGGCTTCAAGGGTTGTCGGGAATTGGGAGCCCTAAACCCCCCTTCTCGGGTTTTCGGGCCCCTAGCACTTCAGTAGCTGCGGAAGTTGATGAGCTGGCCCAGCTCAAAGAAAGCTTCAGGCGCTTCAGGCGTGGTTCGTTTGGGGGTTGCAAGGGGCCTGAGTCCCCCCAAGCAAACACTTTCCCAACAAGAGAGCCATCGAATGACCCCAAAGAAAGGCGCCCATAACTAGAACGCTCGGGCCCCTTCGGTTTTGCGGGCGCAGAAACTGGGCGTCCATTGTCCTTGAAGGGTTGAGGGTTTGTTGCGCAGGCTTTTTGGCTTCAATTGGGGGGGGGGGGGTTCTCGCTTCACCTCAATGTTCCGCGATCGCCCCTTCTGAACCCAAGGCGAAGCTCCTTGCGGGGTTCAACATTCTTGGATACCTAGCTGGACCTAGCTGCTGCCCGTCATTTTTCCCCTGCTTCCCCCACAGTCTCCAACTCACCACCCTCAAACGGGCCGCCAAGGCCTCGCCCCCCCCCCCCCCCCCCCCCCCCCCCCCCCCTTCTGGCTTTTTGTTGCAGGATTTAGGGTCTAGGGCTCAGGGTTTAGGGTTCAAAGTTTAGGAGGGTTCAGGGTTTAGGGTTCAAAGTTTAGGAGGGTTCAGGGCTTAGGGTTTAGGGAAGATGATCTAGGATGGTTTCGAAAGCTCAGTCGAAACCGGCGCAATCAATCTTGCGTGCTGTCATGTCGCTCTCCTACGCAACCTCCTCGATCAACGAGCGACAAGCCCCAACCCTCAACCCGAACGTGAAACTTCCCGAAACCCTGAACCCCCCTAAACCCAATTATCCTTAGAGTTTTAAGGCTTTGGGTTCTTCAAACTAAGGTACCCTGCATCCTCTACTCAGAAATTGACATGCACCAGGCCGTGCCTGTAACCAGGAGAGGCTATACGCCTCGCTGCGAGGAGAGGTGCGAGGTAGATCGGGGCTAGGGCCTTTTGCAGAAACCAACCCCTAAAGCCTAAACCCTAAACCCTAAACCCTACACCCTAAACCCTAAACCCTAAACCCTAAACCCTAACTAACCCTAAACCCTAACCCTACACCCTGCAGAAGCGTACCCAACTTGCTCATTCTTGGACTTCCCTCTTGTCATCATTGCTCTGCTTCCAGCTCTCTCCCTCTCTCTCTCTCTCTCGCGCGCTCTCTCGCGCTCTCTCTCATTCTCGCTCCCTCCCTCTCTGCCTCTTTCTCTCTTTCGCTTCCCATGCTCGTGCAAAGCCGGCCCCAGCACCATGGCTTCAAACTGCTTCTCACCTGAAACCGAACGTTTTCTGCTGCACCCTCAGCCGTTGAGGGTTTAAGGTCCAAGGTTTTTCAGGTGCCTTCCTCCGAAAGGGGCCCCTGCCATCAACATTCATAGGCTCTTGAGATGGGGGGGGGAAAAGGAAGCTCCTTTTGGGACACCCTTCCGAGGAGGTTGAAGGCTTAGGGCTTCTTTTGGGAATCCTGGAAAGGTTCACGGTTTAAGGGTTTCAGGGTTTCAGGGTTTCAGGGTTTCAGGGTTTCAGGGTTTCAGGGTTTCAGGGTTAAGGGCTTAGGGTTTAGGAAAGCCTGCTCGTCCGCCATGTGCTTGGACTGCCCCACCCAAAGGTAGGCACACGGATGGACGCAGTCCAGGGCAATCAGGGTGACCTTGGCACACGAGTAATCCATCCTCAACCCCTAAACCCTAAACCTTCCTCAACCCCTAAACCCTAAACCATCCTCAACCCCTAAACCCTAAATCATCCTCAACCCCTAAACCCTAAACCCTAAACCCATAACCCCTAACCCCTAAACCCAAAACCCTACTGAACCCGGTAGCCGCAAGATCCTAGAAGCCCGGATATCTCGAAGCCCAAAACCCGAACCCGAGACCCTGAAGTTTTCAGCCCCCAAGCCCGCATAAACCCTGAGGGCCCAACGCTCTGCGGATACAAGGGTTTTGGGGGCTTCGGCTCTAGATCACAGAGAGTCCCACAAAGGCCCAGAGACCTCAGAGTTGAAGGACCCTGAAACGGAAAGAACCCACACACGTACAGACCCGAGGAGCGCTCCGCCAACCCCCTAAACCCTAAGCCCTCAAGACGCAGTGAAACTCCTCTCGAAACTTTCCCCGAACCTGAACCCTCAACAATCTCAAAAAAACCCTAAACCCCAAACCCTAAACCCTAAACCCTAAACGCCCTAAACCCCACGAACGCTCGGGCGCTGGCCACAATGCAGGAGGCCAAGGCCCCGTTGCCAACCCTGGATTAGGGTTTAGGCTTTGTTAGGGTTAGGGTTGAGCGCTTGGGCTTAGGGTTTAATTTTTAGGGTTTAGGGTTTAGGGTTTAGGGTTTAGGGCTTAGGGTTTAGGGTTTAGGGTTTAGGGTTTAGGGTTACCCTTAGAGCCCTAAACCCTCTCACCCTGAACCCTCGACCCTGCTACCCTGCTGCCCCTATAGCCCTAAACCCTACAAACCCTCAACCCGCTACCTTACACTAAGGAACCAAGGCCGAGACGTCGGAGTGCCTTGAGACTAAAACAAACATAAAAGGATTCAGGCTCAGGGGTCCCGGTTCCTCGTATCCCCTGAGCCCCCAACCCCAGAATTCATGTGGGAGCCTGAATAATTGGAATAGGGTTTTGGGGACATGTAGGCGAAAGCCTGTCGAAGTCAATAAGTAAAGAAGATGTCATCTGCATCCTCAGCAATAGCTCAGAGCACTGAGCAATTAGAATGGGATTTTGGGGAATATGATTCGTCATGATTCCGAACCCCTACAGTAGGGCCTCGTTCCAGGGGTAGTTAAGGCGTTTTTGGTTAGCCTTCCGGGTTTAGGGTGGCAGGCTGCGGGTTTGAGGGTCTCAGGGTTGGGGGAAGTTTGGGAGGTCGTAGGACTGAGGGCATGTCTTCCAGGGCTTGGAGGCGGTTGAATCCTTACACCCTGCCCCGAAGCCTAAACCCTCCGACTGTCGAGCCCTAAACCCTAAACGTCGTTTGGGCTCGAAGATGAGGGTTCTTGGGTTCTATCTATAGGGTTTGGTTTGCAGGCCTTGGGGGGTTGAGGGATTTGCGGGGTTGAGAGTCCCTGAAGCCAAAACCCTAAACCCCAAACCCTAAACCCTAAACCCCAAACCCTAAACCCTAAACCCCAACCCCAAACCCTAAACCCTAAACCCTTCTAGGGCTCGAAGGTTTGGAGGCCGAAGGTGCAGGGCTTCGGGCTCGGGGCTGAAGGTTCGAGGAATGCGAAGGCTTGAGGCTTCTGGAGTTCAGCGCCCCCCTTTTCCTGGAGCCTCCGGCCATAAAAGGGTTTCGGGTTAGGGTTTAGGGTTTAGGGGTTTAGGAGTTAGCGTTTAGGGTTTAGGGTTTAGGGGCCCTGAAGCAAAAACCAACGCCGTCAGGGCCTTGTTGCAAGCGAGTAGTGGACCCACGCCCCAATAGCACCTGCCAGGCAAGCTGCAACTCTTCTCCGGCGGCCACCATCGTCTCCCAACTTTGAATGGGCGCTAGGGGTGAGGAGGGTTGCTGCAGGGTTTAGGGCATAGGGTCAGGCTTGCCAATCAAGACTCGCTCTGGAGACCTCGCTGAAGCGAGCTGCTAGACTGATGACCAACGCAGCGTTTGCTCGGAGTTAGTTTGACGTTTGGGCCCCAATATGGGTCGTGAATTCTGCCTGCTTGTTTACCACTAAGCTGTATCAGACCCCTTTTGAAACTCTTAGAATTCCGCCGGGCATAGCGCCTGCTATGAGCAACAGCGTCCAGTACTTGATGAGCATGATCGACGTCTCCGCCCGCTGGTGTCCTTAGGCTCAGCTGCACAAACATTGTAACATTACACCACACACTCGTCACCTGCTCCGACATGCATCCCAGGTCTTGCCCTAAACCCGAAAAACATGGATCGCCGAGGGCGCGGCGGGTCTCCGAAGCACGCTGGAACGTGATGTCCTCGCCATAGAAGTGGTAGCGCACCCAATCCTGAGCAAAGGAGCCAGTTTTTATACAGGCTAGACCGTGTGCAAACGAATGCGGTACCCTTTTTGCAACCTTACCCAGTAGACAGTGAGGACTCAGAGGGTCCCTACACTGAGCTACATGGGAAAGAAGCGGAAGGCCTCAACCTCCACCCTGCGAATGCCGCACTCCTAAACCCTAAAAACCTCACATCCTAAAGTCCCAAGCACTAAACCCCTTAAAAGTTGGGACACCAAGGGAGGCGGGGCACAGGTTACCACGACAAGCAAGGTGCCTCTAAGGCTTTGATGATGGCGTAGACCTGAACTGGCGCCGTGACATAGAAGCTCTGCGTCGAGCGCCAGATGCTGTCCATGGAGAGGAAGATCACCTGCAGTCTGGGGTTTAGGGTTTAGGGCGGTTCTTATACACGCGTGTTGGATTTGGGGGAGACTCGGACCCCTAAACCACGACAGCAACGACTCCAACAAGCCCTGTAAACTCTCCACCGGCCTCGTTCGTCTCCAGGCTCGCCTGCCTTAGATTTGCTGAGGACGGCTTGGCCCCGCGGGTGTTTGGGTGGCTTCAGTGTTTGGGGTGTGGTGTCAAGGGTTGTGGCCCTGAGCCCCAAACCCCAAAAGCCCAAACTCGAACAAGACCTCCACATTGAAGATGCCCCCCCCAACCAAATGCCCGAATTCATGTGCCCTGGCGCCCTTAGCACTTGTGCGGTGATATATTCAGCCAGCCATAAAATTTGGTACCAAAGAACCAGATGAGGCCCGAGCCCAAACCCGAAAAACTCGTAAACTCTCCATGAACCGCAGAGAACCCTCAACCCAGAAACCCCTCTTAAACCCAGAAAGCCCAACAAACCGCCTCAAAACCCGGGCACCCCTCGTTCAACCCGAAGTCCAAAACCCCCAACAAGACCCCCCCCGCCTGAATCCTAAACCGCCTAAGCCCTAAACCGCCTAAACCCTAAACCCCCTAAACCCTAAACCCCCTAAACCCCCTAAAACCCCCAAAACCCCCTAAAAACCCCTAAAACCCCCTAAAACCGCTAAAACCCCTAAAACCCCCCTAAAACCCCCTAAAGCCCCCTAAAGCCCCCTAAAACCACTCAAACCCGAAGCCCGACAACCAGGGCACAGCGAGCTCCGCAAGGAGGCCCAGACGACCATGCCCCAGTTCAGGAACTGTTCAGGGTTTAGGGTTTAGGGTTTAGGGTTTAGGGTTTAGGGTTTGGGGTCTGGGGTCTGGGGTCTGGGGTTTAGGGTTTAGGGTTTTTAGGGCCTCAGGGTTCAGGGTTTAGGGTTTAGGGGTTTGGCTAGGGGAGTACAAGGGTCTGGGGCTTAGGGCTCCAGAGCTTTCGGGTTTCGGGTGCCACTTTAAGAGGAGGGCTGGAGGCGGAGGTTAGGGTTTCGGAGGGAGGTTTCAGGGTTCAGGGCTCTGGGGCTTGAACCGGGGGGTGCGGTGCGTTGACGGGTGTAGGGCTCATGGAGAGCTAGGGAGCTTTACACCAGCGACCCTACACCTTGTCGGGGTTTAGGGGTCTAGGGCTTTAGGGCCACTCGAAGCCCCCTGAAGCTGAGCTGGAGGGCATTAGTTGGGGGAGTAGGTTCAGGGTCAAGGGTTGCGGGTGTGGGGCGTGGGGTTTGGGGTTTGGGGTTTGGGGTTTAGGGTTTAGGGTTTAGGGCTTAGGGATTGGGGGCTCGGGGCTTCAAGCTCAGTTGGAATGGTGCAAAGGCTTGTGGAGGTTCGGGTTGAGGGTCTTGGGTTTGGGTTTTGGTTTAGGGTTTTGGGTTCTGGGTTTTGGGGGTTTAGGGAACGGCTTAAGGTGTGTGGGTTGGGGCTTAGGGCTGGGTTGTCTCCAAACAAAACAGAATCCTTCTTCTACTCACCTACAAAGACTCTTCGGTTGTGTTCCTCAGCTTGAGCATGCTTTGTTTTGCCATTGACGCAAGCATGTCCTTATATGTCCTTATACCATTCGGCTCTGGCGCTAAACCCGGAAACCCTGAATCCAAAGCGCTAAGGCCCTAAACCCCAAACCCTAAACCCTGAACCCTAAACCCTAATCCCTAATCCCTAAACCCTAAACCCTAAACCCGAAACCCGAAAGCTAAGCCCTAAGGCCCTGAGAGCCTGCAGCGCGATGATGAAGAGGAACATGCCCAGGCGGTTGAAGTGGTAGCTTTGCCCCGCAAAAACGTTCCAAAAGTTGAAGCCTCACCGGGCTGCTTATTTGGGGGGTTTAGGGTTTAGGGTTTAAGGGGTTTTAGGGGGCTTTAGGGGGCTTTAGGGGGGCTTTAGGGGGGTTTAGGGTTTAGGGTTTAGGGTTTAGGGTTTAGGGTTTAGGGTTTAGGGTTTAGGGTTTAGGGTTTAGGGTTTAGGGTTTAGGGTTTAGGGTTTAGGGTTTAGGGTGGTTCAGTACAGCATGGTTTATAGGATGGCTTTAGATGGTTTAGGCTCGGGCTTTTGTGGAGTGAGCCTCACAACAAACTGAAGTTCCCCGAAACCTTTCGGGTTTAGGGTATAGGGCTTAGGGATTACCGTGCAGGGTTTGGGGTCGGGCTGCGCAAAAGATGCCCACCTGGCCCGAGCCCTCAAACGCCCTCCAGGTAGCCCAATCACCACATCAGAGAAGGGGTCTAAACCCTAAACCCTGTTTTCTGATATTGGAGGGGGAGCGAGCAGCCCTAGAGAAATGCCAATTTCTATCTGGGCGATATCAGCTGATACAAGCGTTTGGGCCCATATGGGAGTTTGTCAACACTTTTTGTTCCAGATCTGGCCGGAACCGACTCAAGGGGTTGAGGGTTTCGGGCTTGCGGCTTTGGGGGATTCCATGGCCTCAACATCCATGAACCGCCCCAAACTTCACATACCCCTCAGGGTTTCACAGATACTTAGGGGCTGTTTGGGTATGTAGAGGGACTACGCAATATTTCAGGATTGCTTTGATTGCGCCAGGAACGTCAAACCTGTGACATCTGCTCCAACAGGCCCCAATTCGCTCTTCGAGTGGTTCCGTGGCGGTAGGGGGGCTGAAGGTCTTAGACTGCGATTTAGACTGCTCGCTCTATGTCTAGATGCTGGCCGCTTCCTTCATTTGCGAGGTTGGCGCCGCCGCGGTGGGAAGAACGCCCAGGTGGAGTGTCACCGCTAATAACCCGATCCTATAGACCCGACAAGCCCTAGAAGCCAGCTACATACGAATTGATTCTGAGCTCCTCCTCCCCTTAGAGCCATCAAACAAAACATGTTTAATAAACAATTGCACATATGTTTTATGTGAACAAGAACACATCTATCATATAAGGTTTCGGGCTTAGGGTTTAAAGTGAACCCGGAAGGCCTAACGAACTCTTGTGGATCACTGGTGCCAGGGCTGGGGTTTAGGGTCAGTGCCCGGCCTATCCAAAAGAACGGAAGCCACCACCACACCTCGGCCGCCACCCCACCAAGGGTTTCTCGAAGGCTTGGTCACAAAAGGCAAGTGAGGAATCTCAGAACAGCGGAATAAGACTGTGACCTTTCATGGTCCCGCATAAATCAAAGCCAACTACGTAAGACTGTGACCAAGGTTTCCACAAAGCGTTCTAGCTTTGAGGCTTTGGGTCTCGAGCTTGGTTCCAGAACGGACGCAGCTCGACATTGCAAAAGAGGCCCAAGCAACCAGGAAAGCTCTGAACGGCTTCTCAAAGAAACCCGAACCCCCCCCCCCCCCAAACACCTAAAACCATTGACCCCTGAAAGCCCTGAACCCTTAAAACCTAAACCCTAAAACCCGAAACCCCTAAACCACTCCTACAGCTTCTGAAGACCTTTCAACTCAATTGGACGCCGGCAAACGTCGCGAAAGGCTCTTTAGAGTGCCCTGAAAGCCCTAAAAGCCCTAAATAGCCCTAGAAACCCTAAAGCCCCTAATCCACTAAGCAACCCTAAACCCTAAACACTAAACCCTGAACCCTGAAGCCTGAACCCTGAGCCCAGCCACCCATCCGGACGTCTGGTGCATGCCTGAGATGGGATCTTGAAGGGTTTAGGGTTAGGGTGCAGGGTTTAGGGTTTAAGGGTTTAAGGGTTTAAGGGTTTAAGGGTTTAAGGGTTTAAGGGTTTAAGGGTTTAAGGGTTTAAGGGTTTAAGGGTTTAAGGGTTTAAGGGTTTAGGGTTTAGGGTTTACGGTTTGCTGTGATAGGGCGTAGATGCTGTGAAGGTTAGGTTTCGGAACAAGCTCGAAAGCTTCGTGAGGATTGTGGAGGGCCATCTAACAGTTTTCTCCCACCCCACCCTGCAAAGCCACCCAAACCTATTCCTTTGTGGGAATTAATTGTGAGAACTTGTGAAAATAGAGGATGCATGTACTAAACCGAGTGCGACATTATAACTAACACTTCCAGTCGATAAGAGGACTTGTATGTGCTGCTGGTTTTTGCACGTCTATCTATATTATTTGGATAGGTGGTAGAATAGACAACTTTCCATCTTATGGTCGTATACCGACATGACATTATTGCCTTCTCATTCTCTGGCGTCTTGTGTTTTTTTGATGCTGTTTAGTGTTCAGACCGCTAACTTCGCAACAAAAAGATCGCAGCCTCAACCTGGATCTTTCCTTGCGATCATTGGCAATCTATAACGACATGAGCCTGAAATCCTGGCAACAGAGCCACATCCCGAACTCTCGAAGCCCTAAGCCCTATGCCCGAAACCCTGGACCCCCAGACCTCTCTCGGCCTCTACCAGGACCCAGGACGCGGCCTATTCATGCCAGGCGGCGTATCAGAAGCCTGACGCGGCTGTCGGGCTCAGAGTTTAGGCTTAGGGCTTTGGGGGGGGGGGGGAGGGGGGAGGTAAACCCTAACTAATGTTTTGCGTGAACCCTCCAACCCCAAAACCTTAGAAACCCTTGAAGACCCGAAGACTGGACCCCTACATCCACCTAACCCTAAACCCTAAAACCTAAACCCCAAACTCAGGCCCCCCACCTGGCCCAGTGCCGCATTTCATTGGGCACCCAGTCGCAAGACACGCAGCCGAAGGCTGTGCAGGCCTCATGCAAGGGGCTTAGGGTTTAGGGTTTAGGGTTTAAGGTTTAGGGTTTAGGGTTTAGGGTTTACGGTTTCGGGTTTAGGGTTTAGGGCTTCAGCTCTCTGGGCTGAGGGCTACGATTTGGAGCCCGGGAGAATCCGACCTCGCTGCTGCCCCCACACCTCCAGAGCTTTGAATTGGCTGAGGGAAATAGTCATAGGGTTCAAGGGGGGTATCCTTAATGACCTAATAAGGGGTTCAAGGGGGGTATCCTTAAGAACCTGATAAGGGTTTAGGGAAACAGTCATAGGGTTCAAGGGGGGTATCCTTCAGAACCTGATAAGGGTTTTGGTCCAGTTTAATGGGTTTAGGGTCGAGGGTCCGGGATTGGGGGGGTTAAAGTAAAGCACTACCTCTCCGAAACTTCTCCGTGCCTTCAGGCACTCCGTCACAAGAAAGACCAGGAGCAGGAAAACGACGAGGCCTTGCACGCAAAGCAGGGGAGGAGGTCTTGAGATTCGAGCCTTGTGGTTTAACTGAAACTTGGAAAGACGAACCCTAGACCCGGTGTCGGCCTGCAGCCCTTACGGTTTACCTGCGGGCCTCGGGCCGAGAAGCTCCAAAAGCAGGGGCTCCCCTAGCAGGGGCTCCCTTCACTGAGCGTAGCATTCGCTAAGCCCCAAAAGGGTTTCGGGTTTGGGGCTCTGGGCAGACCCCACATGGAGATCCTCCTTACTACTCGGATTCCATAGAACCTGGAGTTGTCTCCTCTAAAAACCCCCCTGGGTTTAGGGTGTAGGGTTCAGGGTGTAGGGTTTAGGGTGTAGGGTTTAGGGCTCAGGGTTGAGGATTCTCTATCTAAAATGTGATCCTCCTAACCCCAATAAGGGAAGGCGTAAAATATCCCAAGGCCCAAAACTGTCAACCTTAAACCCCACGCCCTAAACCCTAAACCCCTTAAACCCCACACCCTAAACCCTAAACCCCCTAGGAGGGGACCTGAATCAGGCTTCATTGGGGGTGACAGCAACGCGCCGCGCCTCCCAGCCAAAATGCAAACTCCGCCAGCATCACCACCTGAAGGCCGGGTTGTGGCTTTTTCTCGATGGGACAGCCAGCTTGAGCTCTGGGTCACACACCAAGTTTTTAGGGCTCAGGGTTTCGGTTCAGGGCTTAGGGTTCAGGGTTTAGGGGTTTGAAGGGCTTAGGGGGGACTCAGGGTTTAGGTTCAGGGCTTAGGGTTTAGGGGTTTAGGGGCTTAGGGGTTCACTAGACACCCGACCCTCAGAAACACTGAAACTTGAAACATCTGAGCTCTACACTGGCCGTACACAGGGGTGATTATGATTGTTACTCTTGTGCATTTCTTACTAACAGAGACATTCCAATAATTCTAACATTCCCGTTGTATGTTGTATTTGGTATTTGTTATTGTGGTTGTTCAAAATAATGCGCTGCCAACATTGGTTTTGATGGGCATTACCCAAGATAGGGTACTCCCTTGTATCCCCGCAAGACTCATCATCATCATCATCATCATCATCATCATCATCATCATCATCATCAGCATCAGCAGCAGCAGCATCATCATCATCATCATCATCATCATCATCATCATCATCCTTACGACCGGGCCCCCAGTGAACAGAGTACCCCCGATTTCGGAACCCACCTTCCCCCCTCCCCCCAATTTGTTTTCTTAAGCCTAGGGAGTTCTCGGGCTTCGCATTCCTTAACCCCCTAAAGTTCAAGCCCTAAATCCCTGACACCCTGAAACCCTACACCCTAAACCCCGAAAAACCTGAACCCTTTAGGGTTTGCGGAGCAGGGCCTATCCCCGAAACCCGTAAACCCCCCCCCCCTCCCCCCAAACATGCAGGTTCCAGTCGCATAGATGTTGATCAAGGCAGGCTTATTCTCGAAGTAGGCACCTTGCACGCACTGGGTTTAGACTTTTAGGGGGGGCTTGTTCCTGGTGATTCAGGGTTTCTGTTGGGTTTTCGGGTTTGAGGGTTTTAGGGCTGTTTTTGGGAGGTTGTAGGGTTTTTAGGTTTGCTTGGTTTTTTCGGGGTCTCAGGGCTTTGGGGCGCTTCAGGATTTGGGCGTGGCGTCGTCTTCGGTCTTCTGGTTCAAGGGCCTGTGGTGCATGTTTAGGGCTTGTAGGGCTTAGGGCTTAGGATTCGTGGTCTTCATCATGGTCTTCAGAGTTTGGGTGCTGAGGTCCTCGGCTACCGGCTTGGCAGCCTCACAGGGGCTAGGCTTGGGGGGGCTTCGGGCTTAGGGTGCGACAAAAAAGCCTGGAGTCTTAGACCCTATTCCCTATGAGAACTCCTCAAAGCCTTAAACCCTTGACCTTCGGTAAGGCCGCCGAACACTAGCAGGGGCTTCAGAGAATAGTATTGAGGGTCTGTCATACTTGCACATAGTACTTAGGGAGATTATTGAGGCATGGGGACCTAAACCCTAAACCCTAAACCCTAAAACCCTAAACCCTACCCCCTAAACCCTATCTCAAGGCCCTGAAAACTCTTCTTGCTGCTGAGATACTGGCACCGACCAGATCAACAAACTCCTTGAAAAGATCCATGATGGGCGTCAGCAGCTCACTGGGTTGCCAGGTCGGGTTCAGGGTTCAGGGTTCAGGGTTTAGGGTTTAGGGTTTATAGGGTTTAGGGTTTAGGGTTTATAGGGTTTAGGGTTTAGGGTTTAGGGTTTAGGGTTTAGGGTTTAGGGTTTAGGGTTTAGGGTTTAGGGTTTAGTTCGAAGGGCTGGGGGCATGGGGATGACGCAAGAGTCTTACTGCTCAGCGAAACAAACGGTGCCCCCCAAAGAAGCCTGGCGCGCACTTTCTTCCCTAAACTCAACCGAGCAACTTTTCTGTACCATACACTATATATATATATATATATATATATATATATGGTATATACTATTATAGAACATATATGTATATATATATGTATATATATATATATGTATATATATATATAGAGCATGAAATCTGGTTCCTCCAGTTGCCAAGTGGCTCGTCCAGGAGGCCCAGCCGGAACACGAGCGGCCGCGATGTGGTGTTGCTGACCAGGACGCCTGGGAGCCAGAAAGCAAGTCTCGGCTTCGGGCTTAGGGCTTAGGGTTTTAGCACCCCTAAACCCTAAACCCTAAACCCTAAACCCTCGGGGTTTAGGAGCTAAGACTTAACGGGGTTTAGGACGTAGGGGCTTTTAGGGGTTAAAGGTTAGGACAAGACAAAAAGTGCCTCTGAGAGCTTTGCAAGCGAGAACAACCGATACATGCGTCTTCAATCAATCGCACAGTCCCAAACTGCAGAACATCTTGCCTAAAGCACCCAAAACCCCCAAATCCAAGACCCTGAAACCCCACAAAACGCAAAACCCTGAAACCCCCCAAAATCCCTAAATCTTAAACCTGAAAAACCCTTAAACCCTAAAGTCCTGAACCCTGAAACCCCTAAACCATAAATTCCTACACCCTGAAACCCTTAAACCATAAAAACCTAAACCCTGAACCCTTAAACCATAAGATCCTAAACCCTGAAACCCTAAAACCCCAAAATCTTAACCCTTAAAAACCCTTAACCCCTAAGACCCCAAAGCCCTGAAACCCTCCACTCGGGGCCACAAAACCCTAAAAGCCCTAAAACCTTAAACCCTTAACACCCCTTAAACCCCTAAGACCCCAAAGCCCTGAAACCCTGAAATCAAACACCCTGAAACCCCCCACTCGGGGCTGGGCAGAGCCGCACCAGGAAGTACACCAAGAAGAGCAGGGTCAGCCAGAGCGTGACACCCTGAGGGTGTCGAGTTTAGGGTTTAGGGTTGAGGGTTTAGGGTTTAGGGTTTAGGGTTTAGGGTTTACGGTTTTGGGTTTAGGGTTTAGGGTTTAGAGTTTAGAGTTTAGGGTTTAGTTGATCTGGCCGCAGGGCTCTGTTCCGCGTTTCGTCTGCTGGGGCTTCGGGTACATGGGGGTTTACGATATCCGGGGGTACCTTATTCTAAAGGGATCCTACTACTTGGGGGGTCTATTTTTGGGGGTCCCCTATTTTCGAAAACCGCACGTGGTTTCAGGGGATGTAGGTCCAGGACCCGCCCCCGGATGCCCACACACTGCAAAGGCTTGGCTGAGACTTCGCCCCAAACCCTAAACCCTAAACCCTAAACCCTAAACCCTAAACCCTAAACCCTAAACCCAAACCCTAAACCCTGAAACCCGAAAAGCCTGAAAAGCCTCGAGGGCTTCGATGACCTTTTCCAAGGGACCAAGATACCACCTCATCCCTCCCACTCATACACAAAAACTCATCACTTACTTTGAGGGCTTAGCGTTGAGGCGTTCTTTCTGGCACCCTGAGTGGCAGAAGAACATGCTTGGGGGGAGAGGATTGAGGCAAGCCTAAGCCCTGAACCCTAAACCCTAAGCCCTAAGCCCTGAACCCTAAAAAAGCCCCAGCCCGGGTGCAGGACCCCGCAGGCCGGCCTGATGTCCGAAGAAGGACTGGAACCAAAACACGACCTGTGCAATTTGGCGCTTGGGTGGTCCAAAACCAAGGTTTAGGGTTTCTGGAGGGTGTAGAGCAACCCTAAACCCCTAGCCCCCCCTAGTCTTTCAAAACCCTAAACCCCCAACCCTCGCAACCCTCCTAAACCTCCGAAAGGTAACCCTCCTAAACCTCCTAAGTCTCCTGAACCTCCAAAGCCTCCCAAGCCTCCTGAACCCCAAGGAGGCTGCGCCTGGCCCTCCTTCCACTGCTGCATGGAGGCCAGAGCCTCCGTGCCGCTCCGCGAGACGCCATACGAAAGACGCCTGGGGGCTCAAAGGGTTTAGGGTTTAGGGTTTAGGGTTTAGGGTTTGGGGTTTGGGGTTTGGGGTTTAGGGTTTGGGATTTAGGGTTTAGGGTTAGGGTTTAGGGGGTTTAGGGGGTTTAGGGGTTTTTGGGGTTTAGGGTTTTGGGGTTTTGGGGTTTGGGGGGTTTTGGGGTTTTGGGGTTTTGGGGTTTTGGGGTTTTGGGGTTTTGGGGTTTTGGGGTTTTGGGGTTTTGGGGTTTTGGGGTTTTGGGGTTTTGGGTTCAGAGTTTGAGGGGGTTTAAGGGGGTTTGGTGGGGTCTGAGGTTGTTGGTGCTTTGATCTTGTTGTTCGCCTGGTTATTTTCTTCTTCTTCCTATGCTTCTTCTATCTTCTTTTAGTTCGTCTCCTTTTGTTCTTTGTCGTGTTCGGGGGGTAGGTGGGGGGTTGAGGGGTGGGGGGCCTTTAAGGGCTTAGGGGGCCTAATTACGACTTTAGGGCTTTAAGGCTGGGGCTTTTGAGCTTTCAACCCCTTTGGGGGCGGCTCAGGGCTTCTCTGCAAAGCGGTTTGGGGAAGCTCCGGCACCCAGCGCCTGTTGATGAAGTGGGAGCGCCGGCCGTTCAGCACTTCGTTCACGCTGCTGGCGATGTGCTCCACCTTGAAATTCCGGGGGGTGCAGGGAGTTTGTTGCCCAATTCTTTGCCTCCCTGAATCCTCCACCCTCAGCCATAGTGGCCTTGCAGGTCTCGGGGAAGTACTTCCGCTCAATCATCTGTCTGGTCCTGCGAAGCTGCGCGGGTCTTCAGGGGTTTGGCGGCCTATTCGGGGGTCAGGGCTCGGAGAAGTGGGCGAGGGACTGTGGGGCTTTGGGAGTAGGGACTGGGCCTCTTCTTCCCGAGACCCTGAACTTGTCTTGGGCTTGAGGCTGCAGGGCTTGTCTACCCCCCAAAGCTTTTTGCAAACCATTCTGCCCCCATCCACGAAGCCTCAGCCCCAAAAGCCCTGGACCTGATCAACCCCGAACCCAAACGCAACTCTAACTCCCAAGCCTTGAAGGCACAAAACCCGGCCTAAACCCTGAACCCATATGGGCATTTCCCACAAAAAGGGCACCCCCTACTTTCGGAAACCCTCAACCCTTAAACCCTAAAACCTAATCCGTAACCCTTAAACCCTCATCCCTAATCCCCCAACCCCCTAAACCCTAAACCCTAAACCCTAAACCCTAAACCCTAAACCCTAAACCCCTAAACCCCTAAACCCTAAACCCCTAAAACCTAAACCCCTAAACCCTTAATCCGTCCTCTGCTTGTTGCCCAACCTCACCCGAGACCTCTCCGTGACCCAGAGTGCCTCCTCAGCCTGTCGCGCGGTCGAGGGTTTAGGCGTTAAGGTCTAGGGTTTAGGGTTTTGGGCTTAGGGTTCGGGGGTCTGAAGTTCAGGGTTTAGGGTTCGGGGTTCAGGGTTTGGGGTTTGGGGTTTCGGGTTGAGGTTTTAGGGGGCTTGAGATCCTCAGAAACCCTCCCCACAGAGCCTAACTACAGTCCTTCGCCCCCTCAACCCCCTAAATCCGCTCAGAGGCTTAGGCTTAGGGTTTCGGGTTTGGGGTTTGGGTTTTGGGGTTTGGGGTTTGGGGATTGGGGTTTGGGGATTGGGGATTGGGGTTTGGGGATTGGGGATTGGGAGTTGTGGGGCTTGAGGTTGCGGGGGCGCATTTCAGGCACCAGGGAAAGAGCGCTGGGAGTTCGGATTTTCGGATTTGAACCTGGAGTTTGCCTGTCAGTACATGATCGGGGGGGTCAGGGGCAGGTTTAGGGATGCGGGTTTAGGGCTTGAGGTTTAGGGTTTAAGGTGTGGAAGGGTTTGGAGTTCGAATAGGGGGTTCGAGCATGTTAGAGCCTGAACCTTTCTCGCTTCGTGGGGCGAGATGGGTGCAGGAATGTGTTATCCGCACAGAACCGTGTCCGGGGGGCAGATGGTACTATTCACGGGAGGGGTACAAGACTAGGACGTCGGAATCTTTAAACTGCAGCAGCATCTTCTCTCGGCCTCCTTGTTGAGCAACCGCGTGCTGTTGGTGGCCCAGGCGCTCACGCCTACGGATGTGGCCCACTTTGAGGGTTACGCCGAGGCTTGTGGATCGAGCGCTTTAATTCTTCACCCCACGCCCCTAGGCTGACCAGCTGAGCTGGCGTAAACCGTGGTCTGCTAAGTACAAGGGATCTCCTCCAACCTAAATCACTTTGCGGTTTTTGGGATGGGGTTTCAGGAAGGTAGAGTTTAAGGTTCGGCTTAGGGTTGAGGGTGTCTCACATGCTTTGCGCCACCACCACGCCGCACGTGTGTGTCGGCAAGCTGCTGGCAATAGCTGTGGGCTCAGAATTTGGAGTCCTTTCCTCGTGCCTTTCTTCTTGAGGAAGGGCTTGCAGCTTCGGACTTAAAGGTAGCTGAGGGCTTGAGGAGCACTCTGCTGAACTTGTTGCACAAGGCCTCGCTTCAGCCCTCTAGGAACTCCCAGCTCTACTCTCATCAACCCTGAAAGTCTAAAACCCTAAAACCCTAAAACCCCAAAACCCCAAAACCCTAAAACCCTAAAACCCTAAAACCCTAAACCCAATCTGCCTCCGCAGCAATTCTGGATCATGCTGTGGAAGCGGAAGAAGTTGGCGTTGTTGCCTTCCAGGAGTAGCAGCTCGATGGCTTCGGGGCTTGAAGGTTTAAGCGTTGAGGGCTTCAGGGTTCAAGGGTTCAAGACACCTCAAAAAGGTTTGAAGGGGGTTCAAGCGGGCAAGAGGGTTCAGGAGGGTTCTGGAGGGTTCCGGTGGGTAGGAGGGTTCTGGAGGGAGAGGGAGGGTTCAAGGTTTCAAGATGGTTCAAGCATTTGAGGGTTTGGAAATGGAGCATTTGGGCTTTGAAGATTGGTGCTTCGGTCTGAGGGAGCGCGTGTGGGGACGCAAAAAACAGGGCCGAGGCACCGTCCAGGTAGTCCAACTCCTCCTCAAGCCTGATGCTGCAGGAACCCTCAACCCTAAACCCTAAACCCCATAAACCCCTAAGCTCTGAACCCCACAACCCTAACCCCTACACAGGCCCTGCACACCAACCGAGCTTGTGGTGGTGAGCTTCGGGCCTTTCGAAAGGGCTCCCTAAAGGCTGAAAACCTCTACCAGCACGAAGTTCTTGCCCTAAACAGTGTTCAGAAATTCTCCCCAAGAATCTCACATCGAGTTTAATCACAAAACACGGGGCCCAAGGCCTTCTCAAAATAAAAATACTGTAATGGAGATTTTGGATCAGCCCCTTGCATCCTCCTCCGCCAGAAACTCTAAAGAGCTCTCAACATCTAAAACCCTGCACACAGGCCATGACTCCAACAAAGACTAAAAACTCAATCACACACAGGCGCCAAGACTCCAAAAATAAAAATAAAAACTGAATCATACAAACCAAAGAATAAACCCTAAACCCTCCATCCGCAGCTCGGCGGCGCATGGAAGTAGAGGGGGCACTGGACGAAGCCAACCTGTTCCGGCAGCTGTGTCTTTCCCATCGCTGGGTGGGGGGGTTGCATGGTGGGTTTGTAAAACCCGAACCCCCCTCCCCCGAACCCCTAAACCCGAACCCCCCCCCCCCCGCCCAAAAAAAAAAAAAGAAACTCTCCAAGCAAAAAAGTTCGAAGCTTTCCGTAAACCCTGAACCCTAAACCCTGACAACTAAGCCTCTTCACCCCTAGACGAAGTCTTAACGTTGGGGGCTTCAGGATCCTATCAGGGTGTAGGGACTGTAGTTTAAAGGCTTTTGGGGTGTAGGGCTTAGGGTACTAAAGCTTAGGCTTTCGGACGTCCAGCACCTCATCGTCCAGCTCTCCGTTTCGGTCGAAGAATCTGGGGACGGTGGTGTGGAAATAGTCGGGCTGGAACTGGTGGTAGGGGTCGCAGATGCCTCAGACCACGCAAATTATTCGCAGGGGACGGGCGGTTTGCTTTGGGGGCACTTTGGGCCTTCGTTAGACACGCTGAAAGCAGCTTGCTCCCTCTTAAGTGCGCCGCTGAAGAGGCACGGCGAGTGGTCCCGGCTGTCACCGTAGTGATTCCTTGACACCGAGGCCCATTCATGCAGCGTTGAGGCTCTCACATCAGGGCTTTGGGGCTTCGGGCTTGCGGGCTTGCGGGCCCCCTCACTCCCCTCTTCAGGGCTTGAGGGTTTAGGGCTTCCTCAACTTAAACACGGCCTCTGCGCCTGTCCGGAGACCAGATTTTTTCGGGGAAGACTGGACCCTGCTCCGGGAGAAGCCATGAATGCAAGCTGGAGCGTCTCCGGCCGGCTCGCGGACATAAACCTTGGCTGCCGTGGAACGCGGGCGCGCAGTCTGGGCGATTGAGGCACCCCCCCCCCTCCCCCGATTGTGAACTGCTAGTTGGGCCTTTACCCACAACCCCTAACCCTAAACCCTAAACCCCTACTAACCCTAAACCCTAAACCCCTAAGCCCTGAACCCCAAACCCCTTACAACCGCCACTGCTCTTGCAGCCGAGCCACAAAAAGTTCGCGGCGAAGTTGAGAGCCTCTGGATACAATTTTAGGGTTGAGGGTTTAGGGTTTAGGGTTTCGGGTTTAGGGTTTAGGGTTTAGGGTTTAGGGCTTAGGGCTTAGGGCTTAGGGTTTAGGGTTTAGGGTTTAGGGTTTAGGGTTTAGGGTTTAGGGTTTAGGGTTTAGGGGCCAAGGTGGCCGAAGCTTCGGATCAAGCTTGGGATCACATCCAGCTGGTTAGGGGGTTCTGAGTTCTTTGGGTTACATCCACTTGTCCGGGAACTTCAACCTCAACATATGGATGTAGAGTGCATCATATGGCTTCTTCCTGAGCTGACTTCATTTAAGTTCCTTAACAGCAACCCAGTAAGCTGAATGCCGTGAAAGCCACCCCGGGCAGGCCACGGCTAGTGTGGACTGGCACCAGGTTCACAGAGTGATCCTGCAAAGAAGGCTACTGTTTTAGGGTTTAGGGTTTAGGGTTTAGGGTTTAGGGTTTAGGGTTTAGGGTTTAGGTTAGGCTAAGGACAACTTTACGAAGGGAGTTCCCACGCGGGCCATTACTAGGAGTATGATAAGACGCACATATGGCAAGATACTACCTACCCTGGAATGGGCCCTAGATGCAAGGTTTGGAGGAGGTAGGGTGCCGCTGATTTAGCCCCCAAAACCCCAAATCCTAAACCACCTACTACACACACGCTGCCCCCTACACCCGATACCTTTACCCTGAAAGCAGCGACGCCGTGTTGTCCTGTTCCTCTAGGCCATAGACCATCTCCTGAGTGGTTTAGGGTGTTGAGTGTTGGAAGGAAAGGTTTAGGGTTTGGGGCTTAGGGCTTAAGGTTAAGGGTTTAAGGTTTAAGGTTTACAGCTCAAGGTTTAAGGTAAAGGGCTGGGGCTGAGGTGGTTTCAATCTCAACACCCAGTATCTAAACTGCCGGCCCGGGCTTCTTTACCCACATGAAGCCTCCATGCCCACCCAACCTATGGGTAGCTAGGCCTACCGCAATTAGGCCTATGGCAGGCAGGGAAATTGGGAGTGCTTGGGCTCCTTTGGCTTGAGGTTGAGGCTTCTGAGGCCTTGGCCGCCCTTCTCCGTGGGATTTCCAGGGGCCCTCTGGGCTCCAGGCCACGAAAGCCCGAAACCTTGGCATGTTGCCCCTTCTACTAGCAGTCCTTGATAGGAATGATAATCGGGGGTACTATATAGTCCCTATACAGGACTGTTAGTCTAAGGGGAACATCCCAACCTAAACCCTTGAACCTCGAGCCCCTAATGCCCCAAACCCCAACCCGAAAACCCAAACCTCAGACCCCAAAACCCACGCCTTTGGGAGATCTGAGCCGAGTCTCTTTGAGCCCACTGCGGAGGCTGAGCCAGTCGGAGTCTTCGGCGTTGATGGGCACCTGGGCGTCTGCCCGGCCAGGGTTTTCGGGGGTGAAGGGATTGGGGGTTTCAGGGTGGTAGGGATTTGGGGTTTTGGGCTTCTTAGGGTTGTCTTGTTTTAGGGCTGTGCGGGTTGGGGTGTTGCACGGTTTTGGGGTTTAAGGGTTTGCGGGCTTAGGGGTTTCGCAGGTTTTTTCAGTTTCAGGGCTGCAGGGCTTGGGGGTTCTAGGGTTTAGGGCTTGAGGTCTTTAGGGCTGAGGTTTTAGACTTGAGGGTTTAGAGTATGGGGTGTGAGGTGGGGGGGGCTTTGGGCCTTGGATGCAGGGTCTGAGGGCGACTGAAAGGCGTAGGGGGCCTAAACCCTAAACAGTCCCTTGTCCCGAAGCCCTAAACGCTTTGGGGTTCAGGAGCTTCGGGGTTTGAGGGCTGAGGGTGGCTTGAGGAGTTGGGAAGACTGAAGATGCGATCCACCCTCACGAAAGCCCCTGATTTAGGGCTTATGGCTTGGGCTTCGGGCTTAGGCGGTTCGGGGCTTAGGCTTTGGCTTAGGGCTTAGGGGTTAGAGGGTTTCGGGTTCAGAGGGCTTAGGGTTCAGAGGGCTTAGGGCTTCAGCTCCACATCAAGCCCTGGCCTTGTAGTAGTAAATCCCCGGGGCCACGTGCTGAGTCTTCACCTTCGGGGGACACTTGCGAGGCACAGGCGGCTAGGGTTTAGGGGTTGCGTAGGGCTTGGGGTTTAGGACTGGGGGGATCCCTCTTCGGGTAGAATTTAGGGGCCAGGGTCGAGGGCTTGCGGGCTCAAACATCTCTGTCAATTTAGGATTCGGAGTGGAGGGCTTGAGGGTCTAAGGCTCAACTCTTCGGGGGGTCTTCGGGGGGTCATGGCTTTGGGGCTCCGCCTGCTCTCAAGCACCCAAACATCTTGCACTAGCAACCTTTGGGATGATTCCAAAAGCCAAAAGCCGCACACCCCGAAACCTTGCAAAGGGGTTCGGCACGGAAGTGGCTGCCAAGGAGCCGTTCTCTCGTCCTCGGACGGTTTTCCTCTGGCCTCACGGTGGTGGAGAACCCTCCATACTTCACATGGCTTCTATCTACGGCCTTGTGTAAGGTATAAACCCCTACACCCGAGAAACCCTGAACCCAACCCTAAACCCCTCAAACCGTCAACCCCCAACCCCTCAGAACCTAACCCTCTACACCCCCCAAACCCCGAATCCCTGAACTCGAATCCCCAATCCCGAACTCCTCCCCCCCCCCACCCCGCCAAACCCTAAACCCTAAACCCTAAACCCTGAACCCTTGTCCTCATGTCAAGCCCTACATTCCCTAAAGCCGAAGGCCAAGGGCCAGGTAGTGAAGCCGCAAAGGCAAGGAGTTGCGCTGCTTGGGCTCCCAGTCCACCACCTGATGGGGTTTGGGGTTTGGGGTTTAGGGTTTAGGGTTTAGGGTTTAAGTTAGGGTTTAGGGTTTAGGGTTTAGGATCCTAAGCCTTGTATGGGCTTTGGGGGGTTTAGGGGTGCAAGGTTTGGGGTGTTTAGGTTTAGGGTTTGGGGGTTTCGGGGTTCAAGGCCACTGCGGTCGGGCGACAGTGTCTCGCTGCATGCTGAAGATCTCGCTGTCGGCAGACAGCAGCGCCTGTTGCACAGCTCTCAAACTTTTTAGGGGTTTAGGGGTTTAGGGTTTAGGGTTTAGGGTTTAGGGTTTAAGGTTTAGGGTTTAGGGTTTAGGGTTTAGGGTTAAGGGTTTGGCCCTGCTTCTTTGTTCAAGGGGCGGAGTCCCGGACAAACGGAACCCCAAGCCCGCATCCTGGAGCCTCATCACCCCATGATGCTGAAACCCCGAAAACCCCAAACCCCTCGCCCCAAAAACCCTAAACCCTAAACCCTAAACCCTAAATCAAAAAAGAAACCAAAACCACAACCAAACCCAGGTTCCTCGTGGAGTGCGGCCACCGCCGCCTCTAGCGGGGCAAGCACCCGCTGGTCCTGCACAGCCATAAGGCATAGGGCTTGGAGTTTAGGGTTTGGGGTTTGGGGTCTAGGGTTCAGGCTTCAGGGTTTAGGGTTTAAAACCCTAGAAGCGATTGAACCCCAATACCCTTGCTCCAACCGAAAAAGCCCGTGAGCCGGAGACCCTTGGAATCGCGCCCTAAACCCTAAACCCGAAGCCCTGAACCCTGAACCCTTGAACCCACAACTCCCGTGCCTGAAGCCCTTCTCTTAACCCACATCACTGTCAGTCTAAAGCACCATAAGCAGCCTGGGAGTTGAGGCTAAGGGGCTCAAGGTTTGCCGGGATTCGGCAACTTTTTCGGCGCACGTTCCTCAACGCCCTCTGAGGGCCCTATGAGGGGCCCTCTGAGGGCCTCAATCTCAGACTCTGATACCCCTCCAACGGCATATAAGCGCGCCGAAGCCCTCAGCCCGAAACCCCGTCCATTGCGGCCCAGCTGTTTTCACGCAGAGTTTGATAGGTGCTTCGCCCGCCTTGGCTGTGCGACTGTGGGGTTTTTTTTAAGGTTTTCCCCCTAGAGCTTTCTGAAGTTGAGGGCTTAGGGCTTTGAACCCTCAAAGCCAAAGAACTTAAAGAATTCAGGGGGTTTGCTCGCTATTGTGACTACTACGACGAGAATGCCTATCAGTCATACTCTGACGACGACTACCGCCAACTGCTGCTGCTCGAAGACGGCGACTACTGCTGTTACGACTTCTACTCAAAACTTCTGTATATACCCTGGACACCCTAAACCCTAAACCCTAAACACCCTAACAGCACGATGAGCTGCCTATGTTTATATTGACATGCCCTCTCGGCCGAGTCTCTCAGCCACTCGGCAGTCTCCTGCCCACGGGAAGCGAGTCAGGTTGGGCTTAGGAGGATTTAAAAACCCTGAACCCTAAAACCCCTAAAACCCTTAAAACCCTTAAAACCCTAAACCCTAATCCCTAAACCCTAAAAACCCTAAACCCCACAGCTGAGGGGTTAGGGGCGTTGGGCCTAAAAACCCCATTAGGGTGGATCAGGCAGCCGTTGCTTCAGGGTTCGGGGACAAAAGCGCCGTCCTTGCTCTCCAGGCCCGCAAGAGCACTTTCGCGAAGCTGGGCGATGTCCTTGGATTGAGGGTTTAGGGTTTAGGGGTTAGGGTTTAGGGTTTAGGGTTTCGGGTTCAGGGTTTAGGGTCTGCTTTTTAAATTCTGGGCGGGCTTAAGGCTACACCCTGAGTGCTGAAATCCCAACCCTACGGCCGCACGCCCAAGCCCTGCCCAACAACAAAATCCACACCGCGAGCCGCTTGTCCTAAACCCTCACCTTGGGATCTTCCCCCCCTTTTACTATCAGCCCTCAATAGGGATTATAGTTGGGGGTACCATAACCCCTATTAAAGGACTGCTAGCATAAGGGGGAACCTCCCAGACCTATAGATCATCAACCTTGGCTTCGGCAAAGTCTCCACCTTCTTCGTGCTCTCCACCCACACGAGAAAGAAATCGCGCACGTTCTCGTTCAAGGCTACGGAGTCATAACCTGAACAGGAACTCAACTTAGGTTCGGGTTTAGGACTTCGGGTTTAGGGTTTAGGGTTTAGGGTTTAGGGTTTAGGGTTTAGGGTTTAGGGTTTAGGGTTTAGGGTTTAGGGCTTAGGGTGGGACTTGGTGATTTTGAGATCAGAAACCCCAGCACGAAGCTCCAAAGACCTGCAACCACCCAGAAGTCTCCGGAGGACCAGGCCCAAAGCCCATCAAACCCTAAGTAGCAAGCCCTCAACCCTAAATCCTACACCCTAAACCCGAAACCCGAAACCCTGAGCCTTTGAACCTACAAGTCCTCTTTAAAGCCCTAAACCCGAAACCCTAAACCAAAAAAACAAAAAGCTCCACCCTGCACTCGCTGGCGTCTGGCCTGGAATGGCGTCCAAGATCTTGGTCACCATCCTGGATTTCGAACAGGTTTTGGGTTCAGGGTTGGGTGTCAGGGTTTAGGGTTACCCTAAACCCTAAACCCTAAACCCTAAACCCTAAACCCTAAACCCCACTCTCCATGCAGATCAGGCTCTGAAACATCTGCAGGAGCTCGAGGCGATGGAGGTCATCCGCAAGGGTGACGTGGTAGCGGCACGCGCAATCCTCCAAGGGAAGTCCAAATACGCTCCAGCCTCTAAATATCAAACGGTATGTATGTATGTATGTATGTATGTATGTATGTATGTATGTATGTATGTATGTATGTATGTATGTATGTATGTATGTATGTATGTATGTATAGTTATTATTTATTTATTTTATTATCATTATCTTTATTATTTATTTATTTTATTATCATTATCTTTATTACTATTATTATACTTGTTTGTTGACATTATTGGTGTTACTATTATTGTTATTACTTAAAACCGACGGAAGCAGATCTCCAAGTCGAGCGAGAAAGCCGCCTGAACGCGATGCAATTATTACTATTATCAGTACTACTAATATTTTTGTTGTTTATTATTGTTATTGTTATTGTTATTGCTTTTGTTTTTATTATTGTTATTGTTATTGTTATTGCTATTGTTATTGTTGTTGTTGTTCTTGTTATTGTTCTGTTGTTATTGTTATTGTTATTGTTATTGTTACTGTTACTGTTATTGTTATTGTTATTGTTATTGTTTTTGTTATTGTTATTGTTATTGTTATTGTTGTATGTATATACATATATATATGCATATATATATATATATATGTGTGTGTGTGTGTGTATCTCTGTATGTATGTATACCTGTATCCTGTATCTAAACGAATAACAAAGTATGAATATAGACATCCGCCTAAACTCTCTTCTGCCCGGCCTTCGGCATGCATCCGATGGCACCGATCAAGCTCCTGGCACAAGCACCTACAGTATCCACTTAAGAACGCTATGTGGGGGTTTACGATATTGGGGGTACCTTATTGGGGATCCTAGTATGTGTGGGTCTATTTTCGGTCCCCTATTTTCGTAAACCCCATGTGAGATCGCGTACTACCTTCCAGGCAGGATAATCTTGAAAACATGCACTCTTCTCGCTCCGGTCTCCTGGGGGCGTGGGCCAGGAGAAAGCATCCAAGGGTATACAGTGGGCTAAGATTCACGGCTATACGTGACTCGGCAGTTTCTGTTACAGCCCGCCGTTGAAACCATTTTCTGCTACAAGCCCTGAACTCGGAACCCTAAACCCTTAAAAGTTTCCGTTACGTTTTTCGGCCTTCCACTGTTACGGTTGCCTGTCGCAAGCCGTTTCGATGCGGAGCTTGTTCACTGGTCCCCGCTCATGCCCAACCCCCCCCCCCCCGGTACGAGTCTTGAGGCACAACAACGCACAAGTTCAAGATGCAGAGCAAGCTACAAAAACTCATACCAACGACCCAAGAGACCATTCATTCCGATGAAAGACGGCTTCCGTACTACCTGAATGAGTGCTGGTTATTGGGATGTTCCCCCTTGTACTAACAGTCCTTAATAGGGATTCTACTAGGGGGGTACCATAATCCCTATCAAGGGGCTTTCGGGTTTAGGGGCTTTGGGGGTTTAGGATCATCCCCCCTAAGCTCGCTTGTCCTCAGCGTGACGGACTTGCTCTCCCCGTCGCTGGGGATGCAAACGTTGATGAAGCCTGAGCTGGGACCCCGAACCGTAAAACCCCTAGACCCTGAATCCTACACCCTAAACCCTAAACCCTAAATCCCCAAAACCGGCCGAGGTTCTTCAAAAGAGTCCCCTAAGAATCCCAATCTGTGGCTTCCCGGTTTTTTTTTGGGGGGGGGGTCTAGGTTTGAGGGTTGGAGGGCTTTAGGGTGGCAGAGTTTAAGGCTCAGAAGCTCAGAAGCAAGCCTAGAGGCTTAGAAGTTTAGGGCTTCGGGAACATGAAAACATGGAGATCATGGACGACAAGTGGCGGAGATGCTCCGTCAGCTCTGGATCGTACCTGTGTTCGGCACCCTTAACCCTAAACCCGCCCAAGCCTCCTGAGACCTTGAGACCCTGAAACCAAAAGCCCGGTCCCCCAAAAAGCCCTAAACCCAAACCAAACCCTACACCCCAAACCCCAAACCCTACACCCCAAGCCCCAAACCCTCTACACCCCAAACCCTAAGCCCCAAACCCCAGAAAAAGTGCTTCGTAGGAACTGCTCCCCCAAACCCTAAACCCTAAACCCTAAACCCTAAACCCTAAACCCAAACCCCAAACCCAGCACCCTGGGCTCCCCTTTGAAGGGGGCACCGTCGGTAGTGCCGATAGGGCCAGAAGATGCCAGGACACAACGCCAGCACCTTCAGCTCAGAGCGTAGGTTTTTAGGGACTAGCGTTTCGGGAATTTCGGGAACTGAGGCTCTAAGGCTTTTTGGGGAATCTAGGGATTGCGGGTTTAGGGCTGAGGCCTCAGGCTTCAGGTTGAGGGTTGTTGTATGTTTTTCTCTTTCATTTTTGGGGCTGGGCTCCAGGAGCAGCCAATTAGGAAGGTTCAGGTTGAAACTTAAGCCTTGGGGTCATGAGGTGGAAGGGTCAGAACCAGCACAAACGTGGGCCAAAGAATCCTTGTCTTGGCGTGCTTAGACAGAGAAGAATTCCAAACCAACCTGTGCTTTATACAGATACATGTAGAACGCCGTTGAGAAGCTAAGAGGAGAGGTGTTTCCCAGGACACTGGCGAACCCAAGCGTTTGATCTGCGATGTGGTCTTGGCCCTAAAGCTTTTCGACACAAGCAAGCGGCGGCTGTTGGTCCTCACGAATGAGGAGTTCCATGTTAGGGTGACTAAGGGGGCCGTGTTGGGCTTTGGGGGTTTCGGTCTGTGGCCCCCAAGCCCTAAGCCCTAAACCCTGAACCCCAAACCATGATTTGGGGTTTTGCGTAAACGAAGCCTTAAAGGTCTACCACGTCGGGCCTTCAGGGCAAAGCACACGAGCAGGAGGAAACCTGGGCGCGTTGCGGGGCTCAAGGTTGAGGGTTGAGGGTTGAGGGCGAGGGTTAGGGGCTTGGTGTTTGTTGAGGGTTAAGGGTTGAGGGTCTGCAGGGTTTGGGGCTAAGGGGTTGGATGTTGATGACATGACTAAAGCTCCATTTCCTCAATGAGTTTTTAAGGTTGAGGCCTTTGGGGCTTATCGGGGCCCACGCCTGCAACGGGGCGTAGGGTACTTTGGTTCTGGGAGAGGGGGGGGGGGCTTGGGCGTGCAAAAGGTCGCTGCGCCCCTGGAGGTCTTTCTTGTGGCCTTTGCTGCTGGGCTTTAGGTTTCGATCCGGGCCGTCTTCGGGTCTTAAGAAAGGGTTGGAGGTGCATAGGTCCTAGGGCTAAGAATGCAAAGCCGACAGCGTGGATTCGCGAGGGCAGAGAGGAAGCTTTGCGACTGTTGCTTTCAGCGATGTGCCCTTGGAGGTGATGCCTCTCTCCAAGACAGAAGGGCGTGGGGGCTTGGGGGGAAGCTCTTAGAGTTGTTTGGGGCCCTCAACCCGACAGCACCGAGAGAGCATTGGCGCCCATGCTCTTTCGCCTTTTCCGGGCTGTAGAGGTCCCGCGACTCCCTGTTCTCGTCGCCCGCCGTGTCGGGAACGTACAGAACGCCGCTGCCCCCGGGCCTCTCTTGAATCAGCTTAGGGCTCAAAAGGGACAACTTGAACCTCAACATGCCCTCCTAGCCCTCAACACGGAAGAAGCAGGCCTTTGGTAGATGTACAAGGATAGACAGAGCTTGTCATCTCCGCGACATCTTAGCCGTTCGGCCGGGGGCACGTAGAAAGCCTCCATGTTCTCCTCGCTGTACGCCACGTCTTCTCGTGCCCAGGCATTCCCGTTCTTCTGCGTGTCGAAGATGAAGGGCCCCTCCTCCATGTCACCCAGCATGTAGGTGCCCTGCCAGTCGCTTGGGTTGTGAAGCCAGCTGCGGATCATCAGCTCGTGCACCACGAACTCCATGCAGCACTTACGCCGAGCCACCGGACGCAGCACCCGCTCTTGCAGCCAGTCCACCCGCACGAACTGGCTCTGATCGCTGTAGCCTACAAAAGGACTCAGTGCCATCCCTGTGCCTTCTTCCCTTTCCTCTGCTAGGGCATGCTGCTTGCAGAAGACCCTCCACAAGTCCGGGCGCCAGAAGGGCGAGAGCAAGTACTGCGTCGAGCGCTTGGCAAAGTTTACGTCACGATTCAGAAGGACGCAGTTCGCGCGGCCAGCAAGGAGCAGCCGAAGCGACCCGAGCAGCTGGCTCTGGGTCATGTTGGGCCTCAGAAGAAGGTCGTGCTGGTGAAGCATCACCAGGGGCGTAGTGACGTGTTCCATGGCATGCCGGACAGTTCCGACAAGATGACCCCACTGGGGCATTTGCAGGAGCTCCACCGCATGCATGGCGGGATGCCGCTGTTCGCTCGCCTCCTTCAGGGCTCGCACGTAGTTCTGGTAGTCGTTCCTGAGCTGCGCTGAGCCGTCCGCAACCCACGCCAGGCCGCTGTCAGCGACTTGGTCCAGGTTCTCCGCATGGGCATCGAAGACCTTGAATGTGGGGGGGCAGTATGAACCCCAGAAGGACGTGTACCTGTGGCATGTACACCCACATACCTTATGTACCAGTAGGGATTTCGAGTAGGGATTAGATTAGAATAGAAAAAAGGAACCCAGCTGCTCATTCCTCTCTGGACCTACTTCCCTGGCTCCTTCTCGTCGCCAAGGGGCCAGGAGCTTCCGGCAACCTCCCAGTCCCGCGCAGTCCTGGATGCTCTGCAGCACTGCGAGGAGGAGCCCCACGTCGCAGTGGCCCCTCCTGGGTTGGCTGTTGAAGAGCCTTGAAATAAGTTGCCATGATCACGTGGGAGGGGGGGAAATTCTCTGAATTACTGTCAGCCCTAGATTGCGGGTATCAAAAAAATAGGACCAAGCTTGGAGAACTGCCCAGATGGTTTGTCGACCCAGCTTCGAGGGGCTGGTGGAAACCACCACCGTGAGGACGGATCCTGAGATGACGCGGAGCCCCGGGAGCCCGCCCCCCCCCCATGCAGGGCACGGAAACCCGAACAACGAAACCCTCCTCAACTCCCCCGGCAGAGACAGAGAGAGCGAGAGCCAGAGAGAGAGTGAGTGAGAGAGAGAGGCAGAGAGTGAGAGAGTGAGAGAGTGAGAGAGTGAGAGAGTGAGAGAGTGAGAGAGTGAGAGAGTGAGAGAGTGAGAGAGTGAGAGAGTGAGAGTGTGAGAGTGTGAGAGTGTGAGAGTGTGAGAGTGTGAGAGTGTGAGCTCGTGAGAGCGTGAGAGTGTGAGAGTGACCTCTAAGATTTCCAGTGAGAGCCAGGGTGAGAGTGAGAGTGACCTTTTAAAATTCCGAGGATCCAACGTCGCCTAACTCCTGGAGCCCAAGGCTTCGGGGCAACGGCTTCTGCGGCGGCTCTTCCGGCGGCCCCGCCGCCGGGCGGAGGTCCAGGGAAGCCAGAGGCAGCCAGGCTTCCTGTCGAAGGGTGCTCTTTCTATTCTTAGAGCATCATTTACAATCCTTACCCCTGGTGTTGAAATGCAAAGAGTGAATACAGGTGGAACTGATGAAGCAGATGCTGCAGACAAAGCAGTTTATGAAGACGATGTTAATTACACACATAATCCTAGATTCTGGAGTAATAAACCTACTGAGAATATTGAATATCAGTTCGTTTTTAAGAGGAATAGAAGTGCCGAATAGAGACGAATTAAGTGATAAGGACTCAATGATAGCAGGAACGAGAAACAGAAGAGAACTTCTAAAAACCATATTTCAGACTTAATTGGAAGATGGAAGCAACGAAGACGATTACAATGCCTGCGCACCTTTACACATGTGCTTAACGAATTGCCTGAAACTCCAAGAGTTAGTATTCTCAATATTGAAGTTGAAGATGAATGGGACACGAAAACAGTCTGTGAGAAAACTATGTGAAGAAGCCCAGTGAAACTTTCCTGTACCAGGGAAGAGATGTAGGTGATTGTTTCCAGCAAATGGGCAAGAATGTGCTATTTGCAGTGCCGACCAACCGACTTGATGTGGAACCAACGACTTACAACAAGTTTTTCAGCATTGCTGTTCATGAAGATGTGGGAGAAAGGTTGCCAGAATTTGATTATTGACCTTTTAATGTTGTTGTCTTTGCTGAGATCTATATGTCTGACTTATATGTTCTGGATAAAGCTGAAGCATTCTTTAGGGACAATGCTGATATTATCGTTATTGGAACTTTGTAAGAGAGTAGGTGAGAAGGACGGTAAGGAAACAGGGAATCATTGATAGCATGTATAGCGACTTTTGGGAAGACAGGTTGCCTATTCAAGACATGATGACGACATTATGGTACCGCAGCAGAATATCGCACATACCAACATGAGATGCCGAAATGTAGCAAATGAAATCAGGGAAAGGGTGAAGAAGAGCTAATACGAAGCAGGAGAGATCTTGACTGCCAGACAGTGGATTAGATACTCGAGGGCGAATAAGAACATAAGATACAGAATTGTAGAGATAGCACATGACAAGCTAGGAGCGCAAATAGCGAATGATGAAGATAAGTTTATCCTGTTTGAAGCGGTTGTTGATAGTAACTTCATGTACTCATACTCAAGTTAACGGGCGAGCGTCAAGGAAACCATCAGCATTCACGAACGGGAATAGGATTTGAGGTCTGGGGTAAGGGTGGTGCCTCGGATGTGTTGTTTGTGCGCTGTTGTGTTGGGAGGTGCTTTGTGTTTTGGCTTGTCTCTGGATTATTGTGCAGATTGTTGGGGGTGCTTTGTGTTTTGTGGGTTTGGAAGGGTTGATGTAGTAGGCGGGTTCAGAATGGGGTGAAGGCGTCGGGGGGGGGGGGGGGGGGTAACTATAGGATGTGAGGCCTCGGTTCAGCCTCTGCTTGCTCAAGGAGGTGGGCGGGGGGAGACGGAAACGGACCGGGCGCTTCGAGTCTGAGGGGTGTCGGGGAAAACCCCTAAACGGCTTAAGGGCTTCGGGTGGCCCAAGCCCTAAACCCTAAGCCCCCTCAGCCCCCTAAACTCGGCCCGGCCTCGTGTCTCGGAAGCTCACCCGACAGGATGCCATGCCTCGGATTTCTCGCGAACCAGGGATTTTGGGGGGCTAGGGCTTTCAGAGTTGCAGGGTTTTTTAAGGGATTTGGGACTTTTGGGGCTCCAGGGATTCAGGGTGTCAGAGATTTGGAGCCTTGCCGGTATTTTTAAGGGACTGTGGGTTTAGGCTGCAGGGGCTGCTTAGAGCTTAGGGGTTCATGGGGTTTTGGGCTTTAGGGTCTTAGGGTTTTCGGGTTTGTAGGGTCTTTGGGTATAGGCTTTAGGGTTCATGATTCGGGCTCTCGGCTTTCCTGCCTCTCAGGGATCAAGTCGAACTTCAGCACTCCCCATTTAGTTATGCGTACTGGGGTGCCTCTATTACCTTTGACCTCAAAGGCACGGAGGGGAAAGGGCGGCTAGCATCTAAACCCACACTGGACAGAAAAAGATATACGCAGTTGACCGAAAAGCCCATGTTCACTCGATTGCCGCCCCCGTTAAGCACTGGAATGTTCTTGTCTCGGCGTTTGGTTTCGGGTTTAGGGTGAGCTCTCTTGACAACGAAAGTCAGGACTGTAAGTTGTTTCAAGATTTGCGAGAAGCATCAGGCTTCCAAGCGGGCACACTGCACATGCTGCGAACGCCATCCCGAAAGCATCTCATGTCTGCTTGGGATCTGAAACCAGAAACCTTAGGCCCCTGAAAGGATCTGGGGGTTTCCTACAGTGGGGTAACCCTCATGTATCCCAAAACGTAAGAACCCCCACAAGAAGTACTCTTTTCTGATGCCAAGAGAGGCTCCAGTAGTCTTGGTAGTCCCTCGCCGCCCGCGCGAGCTCGAGCGGATGAAGTAGCGCAAAGTCACCCTCCTTGCCGCTGAAGCCCGGCGCAAGGCGCCAAAACTGCCCCAGTCCCTCCTAAAAGACTCTCTACAACGAAGCCCAACATGCACCCTGAACCCACCAAGCCTTACCCCGGCATGGCGAGGTTCACCCAGTAGAACGTTTTGGGGCTTCCGGTTAAACCAGAGGCCAAGCATTTCTGGGGCTTTGGATGTGGCTTGCCATGTAGGGTGTGGCTTGCTTTCGGGAGCTTTCCCCCCCCCCCCCCACGCCCCACACCCCCAATTCGGAAATCGAAACCCTGAACCCCCCTTAGAACCCTCTCCCGGAACGAGCTGGGGGCATCCTTCTTGACCAGCCGAACCAGATCACCTGCCTCGCGGGCTTGCGGGCTTTGGGATGTCGGGTTCGATTGAAGGAATTGGAGTCGAGGGCGCCAAGGTGCTGAATCCCGACTTGCAACCCATCCGTCCATGCACCTATATTGCTGAAATTCCAGACATCCCTGCCAAGGAGTTCCGAGGTACCTGATAGCTCAGGGTCTAGTGTTTAGGCGCACCGCACACGCCAAGCCCCAAAACTGTCCCTGAAACTCCAAACCCGAAAGCCCCAAAGCCTCAAGTCCCTATCCAAAACCCGGTAATCAACCCTATAACAAACCCTAGAATCCTATTAACCCCATCGTAAACCCTTAACCCTAGAATCCCATTAACCCTATCATAAATCCTATAACAACTGCTGCCCCCCCCCCTCCGGTCGCGGCCTCGCGCTCGCCCAACACTGGCGCGTCGAGCCGCGGCCCAGTCCGCACCTCTTCTTGGCAGCTCTCGTTTGGTTCTTGAAGGTTTTGGGGTTTAGGGTTTAGGGTTTGGGGTTTGGGGTTTAGGGTTTTGGGGCTTTGGGTTTAGGGTTTTGGGGTTTAGGGTTTAGGGTTTGGGGTTTAGGGTGGAGCGAATGTGGGTGCGATTTTAGCGAAGGTGCATTGGGGTTCACCCATAGGCACCAGTTGATGTAGGGCTGCGGGCGTCGGGCCCAGGAGCTTTTACGCGGGGGGCTTAGGGATGAAGGCTCAAGGACGAGTAGGGTGCTGGGGGCCTGAAGGGTCAGGGGTTTCAGGGTTTGGGTGGTGGTGAGATGGCATCTTGAACTCTAAACCTCGGGTAGCAAAGCATGTGGTCTACCAGGTTGCAGGGTTGCAGCATAATAGGGGGGAGGCAGGTGGAGAGGTCTCAGGAGGGAACGCGACCTGGGTCGTGGCACGGAGTGTGGCGCTGAAGTGCTGCGAAAGCTCCTGCCAGCTTGCAGCGGCATACTGGCTTCAGGTCGGGGAGAAATCCCAGCCAGACACCCTGACTCAAAACCTGGGAATCCCAACGAAGCATAGGACCCTGAAGTCCTCAAGTGCAGAGTGCCCTCAACCCTAAACCCCTTCGAAACCACTAGAGTTCAGGAAGTTATGCTCCACGCACACCATTACGCTTGACGTTTGCTGTGTACGCCAGAGTTCATGTTCCGTCCTTGGTGATGACCTTGGTCGGGCGTTAGGTTTTCACATGTCTTCCTACAGATGTTACAGGCTCGTCAAGTATGCACGTGTCGCCTGAGCCACTAACATAAACTGGCTAAGTTCTCTCAGAGTCGCTAAGCTGGCTGCCAAAGCATGCTGCCATCTCGTGGCGAGCTGATTGGCCGAATGCGGGATGGCCGTCCACGAGGTCGTTGACATCGGGGTTGAGAGCTCTCTGGGCTCCGAGAAACCCTAAACCCTAAACCCTAAACAACCCTAAACCCTGAACAAAATGAAAGAGGACGGTTGAAGGGCGGCAGACCGATGCCTACAGCGAAGCGCTCCTCCTGCGCCTGCCGCTCTTCCGCAGCTTCCCTGGCACTCATGGCGGCTGCAAAGACGATGCAGTTCGAGGAGGGTTGAGGGCTGGCTACTTGGGGTTTAGGACCTTAGTCTGCTGGGCCTGGGGCTTAGGGATATTGCTTTTTGGCTGGGGGAGTGTAGGCTCGAGGGTCTTGGCTCTGTCATGGATAGACGTTTTGTGTCCTGGGCGATTCCGGGCGAAGCAACAGGGTTGGCGTTTTGCCCTGAAACACATCCATACACAAAGACAGCAGCAGGACGCCTGAGGCAGTTCTCACGCGCAGCAGCCTCTTCCTCCAGACCATCCAGATCATCGAAGTCGATCATAAGCTAGGCGCTGTAGGTTAAGCTGGTTCCATAACCTCTAAACTAAGCCCCCCCAAATTACCAAGAGCTCGGCAAAATACCCTGAAAACGCCTCAAGCCCTCAGCCTGCACAAAAATTCTCTCTGGGGCTGGAGATCCCTTCGCTAGATCCACCTGTCAGAGTATCCCTCAAACACTTGCATAACCAGGCTTCATCAGTGAAGCGACTGGAAACCGAAGAACTGTTCCGAATGGGTCTTTGGGTTCGTGGTGTCTGGGGATTTGGTTCGAGCCAAGACCAGGCTGAAGCAGGCTGCCTGGAGAGCGAGTGCAGGGTCGGATTGGCATGGGTTGGGGGGTGGGCCTGAGTTTCAGGGTTTATGGCTTGGCCTACAATCGGTTTACAGTTTCCGGTTGAGGGCTTGGGCTTGCCCCGAAGCAAGGTTTACTAAACCTTAACTCTAAGTTAGGGTTTGTTTTAAGGTCTAAAGCGCAGGGGTCAGAGCTTGGGCTTAGGGTTTCGCCAGCCCTTCCAACAACTTCGAACCGATCGCGCTTCAGAACACGCAGCCTCACAACAAGTTTTCACGTCGTGGGCTTGGCAACTTCTGAAACCCTGAAGCCCAGAACCCAACCAACGGTCCAGAAAGGCCCTGAACCCCCCAAGACCTAAACTCCCAAAGCCGCAAAGCCCTGAGCCCTAAAAGCATCCCCCAAGCAAAGCGCCCTAAACCCTAAACCCTAAACCTTAAACCCTTTCGAGGCCGCCACACAAGATATGGACGGGCATGGTGTCGGCCGTTTCCCACTGGCATGCAAGGCTCAGTGCGGTTTTGTGTGCGAGGGGGCATGTAGGGTATATGGGGTCTATAGGGTATATAGGGTATATAGGGTATATAGGGTATATAGGGTATATAGGGTGTATAGGGTATATAGGGTATATAGGGTATATACGTTACACAGTTAAAACTAATTGCTTCAGGGTTTAGTGTCTAAGTAAGCTTTAACCGTTTAACGGTTTAATGAGGGTTTAGGGTTTAGGGTTTAGGGTTTAGGGTTTAGGGTTTAGGGTCTAGGGTTTAGGGTTTAGGGTTTAGGGTGGTCAGGTCACTGCCTGGACGTGGCTCACCAGCGACGACTGGAGGATGCGCCCGTCCGCGGTGCAGTTGGCCATCGGCTGCCTGGGCGCCGGAAAGGGTTTGCTAAACCAGGGTTTGGGGTTCAGGGTTTAGGGTTTAGGGTTTCGGGTTGAGGGTTTAGGGTTTAGGGTTTCGGGTTTAGGGTTTAGGGTTTGGGGTTTGGGGTTTGGGGTTTGGGGTTTGGGGTTTGGGGCAGTTAGGGTTCACAGGTTTTGCTTTGGCGTCTTTTTTGCTGCCCTAACCCTAAACTCCGACCTCTAGACTCTTTAAACCCTCAACCCTATAAACACAAACCCACAGCTACTTGCAGCTAGGACTGACAGGAGGTCGGGATGCTTCTGCAGCCAGAAAAAAAAACACAGGAGCTTGCATGACCGAAAAGCGGCTTGAGGGCGTAACAGGGTTTAGAAGGGCTACGGTTGCATGCTTTCCCTGTATCGCTTCTACAGCACTGCAGAAGCCAAGCCCTCAATCTGTTGGTGCGGTGCCATTCCTGAAGCCGGCTATCGTCTGCCCTCTGCTCTCCGAATCGCTGAACTACTTCGAAGCACCTTCATGCACCGAACCCGAGGCTCGCACCACAACAACAAGTTGGCCCAGCCACCAAAGCCGAAACAATAAATCTGCCCGTTCACTTGAGCCTAAACCCCTAAACCCTCAAGCGTAAATCCTTCATTGTAAACCCTGAACATTGAACCCTAGACCTTAAACCCGAACATCCCCCGAGCCCTGAATCGCTCGACCCAGGGCGTGTTGCTGGTTAGCGGGCACTGAAGGAATAGCAACGACAGCATGTATAGCAACCCCGAACTACTTCATTCCCTACCAACCGCATGGAGGCCCTAACTAAGCCCAAAACCACACCACTTAAGCCCCCTAAACCCGACATCCAAACCCTAAACCCTAAGCCCCTACACCCTGAACCCTAAACCCCTAACCCTAAACCCTAAACCCTGAACTCCCTCCCGAAACCCGAAACCCTGGGCCCAGAGCTGGTTGGCCATGCAGGCGTGGGCGCAGCGCCCCGACACCTCCAAGCACCGGTCCTTGGGCTGTGGGGTTTAGGGTTTAGGGTTTAGGGTTTAGGGTTTAGGGTTTGGGGTTTGGGGTTTAGGGGTTTAGGGGTTTAGGGGTTTAGGGGTTAGGGTTTAGGGTTTCGGGTTTCGGGTTTAGGGTTTAGGGTTTCGGGTTTAGGGTTTAGGGTTTGGGGTTTGGGGTTTAGGGGTTTAGGGGTTTAGGGGTTTAGGGGTTTAGGGTTTAGGGTTTGGGGTTTGGGGTTTGGGGTTTAGGGGTTTAGGGGTTTAGGGGTTTGTGGCAAGGACCTTTATGTTCTATTTGGCGCAGGGCTCTGTTTACCTTTATCCCATACTTAAATCGATACATATATATGTATATATACATACTTATGTACCATTTGGCTTTTGCTCTTGGTTAACAAATAATTTGCATATACCTTTACTTGACATGTCCGTTATCATACTTCAGAGCTTTCGTTTTCTCTCCGTGCACGATTGCCCAGGCCGAGATACCAGACATACCGCCCATAAAAGAAAAGAAGAGAGAAAGAGAGAGAGAGAGAGAGAGAGAGAGAGGGAAAGAGAGCGAGAGAGGGGGAGAGAGAGAGAGAGAGAGAGAGAGAGAGAGAGAGAGAGAGAGAGAGAGAGAGAGAGAGAGAGAGAGAGAGAGAGAGAGAGAGAGAGAGAGAGAGAGAGCGAGAGCGAGAGCGAGAGAGACAGAGAGCGAGAGAGAGAGAGAGAGAGACAGAGAGAGACAGAGAGATAGAATGAGCGTGAGAGTGACAATGAGAGTGAGAGGGGCACAGAAAGAAAGAGAAAGAGAAAGAGAAAGAGAAAGAGAAAGAGAAAGAGAAAGAGAAAGAGAAAGAGAAAGAGAAAGAGAAAGAGAAAAATAAAGAGCAAAGAGAAAGAGGAAAGGGAAACATAAAGAGAAAGAGCGAGAGAGAGACAGAGAGAGAGAGAGAGAGAGAGAGAGAGAGAGAGAGAGAGAGAGAGAGAGAGAGAGAGAGAGAGAGAGAGAGCGAAGTAGAAGAGAGAGGAGAGAGAGAGAGAGAGAGAGAGAGAGAGAGAGAGAGAGAGAGAGAGAGAGAGAGAGAGAGAGAGAGAGAGAGAGAGAGAGAGAGAGAGAGAGAGAGAGAGAGAG